ATAGATAAAAATAAAGGGACTTTACATTCGGCTAGTTGGAGGGTGCCACCATATGTAGAAATTAAAAAGTTAGTAAATATCATTATATAGACGCTGTAATTTGTGCCGGCATTCGCCATATAGATGGTGAAACTGCCTAGGCTTAATTCAGCTAGGCTGGAAATAATTCATTACGGGTGAGGTTGGAAATGTGTAGTATTTAACAAAACGAATACACCGAGGCGTTGAATTATACGTCACTAGCTACCATCTCCAAGCGTTGTTGTAAAGAATGGAAAAGGCACATGATACACCTTTAAGTGCCCAGGTCACATGATAGTGAGGCTGAGGACGGTCTTCAGTCTCCGGGATGACGAAACACATAATATGTCTAGAAAGACATCCAAAAGCGCATCGCAAGTAACCATGACTTCCATTTCGTTTAGTGGCATAAACTTTGGAAATCAGGTGGGAATCAATAATGGATCGATCCATCTGCCCCCAGGTAGATTTCGCGAAGTCCCCTACCAAACCGGGACTAATTCCCGCTTTTTGGCCCAGTGCGACCGGAAACTCCACCTCCCCCTCTATCGACTGTTCCGTTCCGTCGTGACCCAGATTTTGTCGACCGTGGATCGCTGCTCGATCAGATCTACGAGAAAGGGACTGCCCCGGAGGCTCGGATAGCGCTTGTTGGGCTTGGTGGTGTCGGGTATGTGAATATGGCCAGCAGACTCGTCACTGCTAACCCATCGAAAGAAAATCTCAACTTGCGATCGAATGCGCTTACCGAATCCGAGAAAAAGCGCCGAAGACGTGGGTGTTCTGGATTCACGCAGGCAATGCCGCTCGTTTCGAGCAGAGTTGCTGGGATATCGCCGACCGAGTCAAGATCACCGGGCGAAAGGATCCCACCGCGAATATATTCAAACTCATTCATGACTGGCTTGTTGAGGAAAGAAATGGAAAATGGGTCCTCATTCTCGACAACGTGGATGACAGCTCTTTCCTCCACGAAATTTTACCAGTCAGCCAGGGTGGGCAATAGAGTGGTTAGGGTGGTGCGACATCAGGGAGAGCACTCTTGACATACCTACCGATTAGCCATAATAGGTCAATCATCATAACATCCCGAAATAGAGGCGCAGCGGATAGTATAGTAGAAGACGGCGATATAATTACGATAGAACAGATGGATCCGCCACACGCAACGATGCTATTCGAAAAGAAGCTAGGAGCCCAAATTGAGAAGGAAAGGATCATTTAGCTTGCTACTGCACTTGACTATATGCCACTTGCGATTGTGTAAGCTGTAGCGTATATCAGGCAAAGGACGCCACGGGTTTCGGTGGCACGGTATCTGAAAGAATTTTAGAAGAGCGACCGCGAGAGAATAAGCCTCCTATCTTATGATGGGGGCCAGCTGCGTCGGGATAGAGAGGCGAAAAACTCCATCCTTATTACCTGGCAAATATCTTTCAGCCATATATAGCGAACTCAACTAGTAGCAGCCGATCTTTTATCACTAATGAGTTTCTTCGACCGCTAAGGCATTCCTGGAAGTCTACTTCAATATCGGCCAGCGAAAGAAAGTGGCGACAAAAATATAAAATTAGAAGACAAAACGGATATGGACGATGATAATGATGGGAGTATTGAAACATATCCTGGCGTGGATAATGATTCCGAAGAGAATATTTTGATGCTGAGAAATTATATGATGATTTCTACTAGTGTGGATGGAGCCACCCTCGAAATGCATAGGCTAGTACAACTTGCTATGCGGTAGTGGCTTGAGGCCTATGGACACCTCGAACATTGGAAGCAGAAATTCATCGAGATACTTGACCATGCGTTTCCGACCGGAGATTTTGAGACATGGGCTGTCTGCCAACCGCTCTTTTTATATGTACAATCTGCTGTCACGCAACGTCCAGATGACGAGGGCATATTGCAAAAATGGGCCAACCTAGTCCATAAATTAGCATTTTATGCGTTGAAAAAGGGAGATGTTGTCGAGAGCGAGAAGATGGCAGTTTTGGCTATAATGACAAGAAAGAGATTGTTGGGCCCGCACAACGAGCAAACAGTTGATAGTTATCAAATTGCAGGGCTAGCATATCATCTTGGCGGGAGATGGAAGGATGCGGAAAATTTGCAACTAGGAGTGATGCAGACCTGTAAGCAGGTTTTCGGGCCAGAGCATCCCTCCACTCTATCCAGCATTGCCAACCTAGCGTTGACCTACCGGAGCCGGGGACGATGGAAAGAGGCTGAAACGCTCGAGGTTCAGGTAATGGAGACCCGCAAGCGGTTACTAGGGCCAGAGCATCCAGACACTCTGATCAGCATAGGCAACTTAGCAGAGACCTACTGCAATCAGGGACGATGGAAGGAGGCTGAAGAGCTCCAGGTGCAGGTGATGGACACCCACAAGCAGATGCTGGGTCCAGAGCATCCCGACACTCTGATCAGCATTGCCAACCTAGCGTCGACCTACTGGAACCAGGGACGATGGAAGGAGGCTGAAGAGCTCCAGGTACAGGTGATGGAGACCAGCAAGCAGTTGCTGGGGCCAGAGCATCCCAACACTCTAACCAGCATTGCGAGCTTAGCAGCGACCTACTGGAACCAGGGACGATGGAAGGAGGCTGAAGAGCTCCAGGTACAGGTGATAGAGACCAGCAAGCAGGTGCTAGGGCCAGAGCATCCAGGCACTCTGATCAGCATAGGCAACTTAGCAGAGACCTACTGGAATCAGGGACGATGGAGGGAGGCTGAAGAGCTCCAGGTGCAGGTGATGGAGACCAGGAAGCTGGTGCTTGGGCCAGAGCATCCCTCCACTCTGATCAGCATGGGCAACCTAGTGTCGACCTACTGGACCCAGGGAAGATCGAAGGAGGCTAAAGATCTCAATATGCAGGTGATAGAGACCAGCAAGCAGTTGCTAGGGCTAGAGCATCCCTTAACTCTGATCAGCATTGCCAACCTAGCGTTGACCTACTGGAACCAGGGACAATGGAAGGAAGCTGAAGAACTCCAGGTGCAGGTGATGGAGACCAGGAAGCTGGTGCTTGGGCCAGAGCATCCAGACACTCTGATCAGCATAGGCAACTTAGCAGAGACCTACTGTAAACAGGGACGATGGAGGGAGGCTAAAGAGCTCCAGGTACAGGTGATGGAGACCAGCAAGCAGTTGCTGGGGCCGAAGCATCCCGACACTCTAACCAGCATTGCGAGCCTAGCATCGAACTATAGGAACCAGGGACGATGGAAGGAGGCTGAAGAGCTCAATGTGCAGGTGATGGAGACCAGGACGCTAGTGCTTGGGCGAAAGCATCCAGACACTCTGGCCAGCATGGCCGATCTAGCAGTTACCTACGGGAACCAGAGACGATGGAAGGAGGCTGAAGAGCTCCAGGTGCAGGTAATGGAGACCAGCAAGCAGTTGCTTGGGCCAAAGCATCCAGATACTCTGACCAGCATGGCCAATCTAGCAGAGACCTACTGTAATCAGAGACGATGGAAGGAGGCTGAAGGGCTCGAGGTGCAGGTGATGGAGACCAGGAAGCTGGTGCTTGGGCCAAAGCATCCAGACACTCTGAACAGCATGAACAACCTTGCTTATACCTTAAGATCCTTAGGTCAATTGGCAGCTGCTTTGCAACTGATGACAGAATGCGCCCGACTCTGCGGCCGAATATTAGGCCCTGACCACCCGGAGACTGTGTCCTCAACTTTTGCTCTCAATGACTGGCATGGCACTGCCGGACATCGTATGCGAGCAATCTTTTCCCGCTTGCTGTTCCGTAAAAAGTGAAGTCCCTTTGTTACACTGCACTGTCTCAGCAGCGAGCTTTCCTTTGCAAAATAGTATGCAAATCTTCACAAAGTTCCACATGTTATTTTTTTTTCTAATGAAACTAGTTATCCGACCTTTGATACTATTCTAATGGTCAATCACTTCCATAGATCTCGAATAAGCATCCTAGTACTATGTACAAAATACATCGGGTTTTGGTATTTTTGATCTATTTTTATGGAACTTCCTAGAACCTGCTCTCATTGAACCGGCTATTTCTTGGCCGTATTTTGGTAGATGTTCCGTACAATACGTTGAAATTAACCCAAAACAGGATTCCTAACAGTTGTAACTATATTTAGTATAGTAAGTTTCAGAATAGGGTTTAAGAATCATTTTTTCTGTGTTCCGTGCGGAAGCCAGTTTCGAATATTACTGTATCTATTCTGGTCAAATGGCCGATCATGTTGAGAGGTATATGCACCTTCCCCACCTCCTCGTGCAACTGATCCCACTCGACGGGGTCGTCCTAGGTGAGGCCGCCTTTCCACTCCTGGCAGCAGTGGTTCTCCTGGCAGAGGTTCAGTTCAATTAGAACCTTGTTTGCATGCGCAGGAAAATGTGGACCTAGAGTACAGAGGTAGTAGCTTTTCAGGCTCGTTTGAGACGGCTCGCTTAATGTAGTTATGCCACTAGAGGGAGAATGCGAATCTTCAATAGCAAGGGCCTGCGTGCCAAGATCTATTCTTGGAAAACGATTATTTACGATCTTTACAAATACGGACTAGCGTGGCTTCGGGTATAGGCCGAGAAACAATCTGCGTGTGTCCTGAGGAGAATCTGTTTTCGACTCTCACTGTATGGTTCCCGGTGTCTATGCGATTCCTGGGTGGCTCACTTGTTTTCAGGGTCAGCTTTTGTGGCCTTTATAAAAACCAAGGTTGGTGGATATTTACACAGAGCAGATCGTCAATCTTTACTGATCTTTTGTATTGAGCCACACAAGCATAAGCATTAATGTGGGAATACTGCTCCACAGTCGCAGGCTGAATTATGATGATGTCTCAATTATTGCAGATGTAGAGACGTCAACGTCAAAATATTCTGGGGCATTCATGATCATCCAGCAGCACCAGCAAACAGCGGAATTTGGACTTTCAGCCCTAGGTCTAGGTCTATATTTGTGCTGGTTTTGAAGAGTACACAATATTTACGACGAAGCGATAATTAAACAATCCTCTGGCTTTCAACTACTATAGGCAGGTTTGATTTTTTCGCCCGTTTCTTGTGTTGTCAACGCCGCCTCAGATTTCGGTGACTACGGAAACCTAGAACACAACTTCTGGACTCAAGATTCTACCTCTTTGAAAACAAATGTCAACGCCATAGAATAAGAAGGCTTGTATGGTATCGATATTCCTAGAAAGACCAAAAAATATTATTGAGGCACTTAGAGCAAGCCGTAGAATACCTCCTTCAGCGGGGAAACATAGTTGGACTCCGCTGAGACTTCGGCTGATAAACAGCTCGAATTATTTCTGTCAGAATATAAATAACTTGCATCTTGCTAATAATTCACAAAAGACCTTATAGAAGATCCACGTTATGGTCTCCGATGCCGGCGTGAAGAAAACGCCTAAGAATGAGCGCAAGGCAACCAAACATAGCCAGGAAAAGCTAGAAAATCTCCTTGGAGAAGCACAAAAAGAGGAAAAATCCAATGGACAGGGTCCAAGTGCTGGTGAACAAGGTGCTGCTGCACCGGGACCCGTGGACGACCGACAATCCGCCGACAGGGAGCAGCCAGATCAACCAAACTCAAGTCAAGGTTCTGATATTTCAGGCGACTCACACCGTGGAACAGGACCTGCGAATGAGCCTGGGTCGAGTGACGAGGAAATGTCAGACGCTGAACCTGATATCACGAACGAGTCGACCTCTACTGGCACGGCGGGAGCACAAACACGTGGAATGAATAATTCAAGCGTCGGCGCGCAACTATTTGTGGACTTTGAGAAGTTGAACATAGATGAAGGCCGTCATAAAAAGAAAGGACGCCACGAAGATCCCCAACCAGGCGACATAGCCGGGTTTGGCGGCACAGGGAATAATCGGTTCTTCATTTTTCGGGTTGGTCCCGCCCAAGCCCCTAGGCACGTGTTTCGAAGAACAAGTGCGTATAGCACCGAAGGTTTCGAAAATCTGTCCCACAATCGGATTTCCCTACTCAAATACAATGGCCTAAACGGGGATCGACTTTGGCAATATACGAGAAGAAATATTGCCGGGTTTAGAGGCATCGCCATCGATAAAACGGAGAGCAGCCTTAAGTGTCCACAGACATGGATCAATGTCGAATGGAAGGATATTAAGGAAGAGCACAGGTACTTGTTGGTTAACGAATGCAACTGGACCCCTAGGACGGATGTGATTCGCTTATCGGGTAGGAAGGTGGCCAGCATTGGAATCCGCGCAATCTGGACCTTGCAGGAGACTCTGCACATTGAGGCGATCCAAAGAGAGGGTAAACTGGTTTCACCTTTGCCATTTCCTTTGGCTCCCTTCGAGGCGGAGAAAATCAAGCCAGAAAGATCTCGTACACCGGATCAATTCGAGCCAACCTTGGCTCTATTCAAGTCTTTTTCCTCGACCCCAAAGAGCCGATCTAGCATCTCAGGAGGCAACATGGCTAATGGTATCAAACGAGAGCAAGAGCAGGAGACAAGTACTATTGTGCCGCCCCGTTCCGCTATTCAAACCGCTCCTGAATCGAATGTTTTCGAAGTCGAAAGCGGTGGGAGCAGTCAAAGCAAGACCCAGGCACCTAAAAAATTTAATGTTCAAACTTATATGGCAAGTGTGGAAAAGGCGGAGAAGTGGAACGCCATGAGCGAAGCCGAGAGAGAGAAGAGATATAGAATAGCCTTGGCAAATTATGATCACTACAAGGAGGAGAGGCAGATCAAGGGTGATGTGGAGGTTGAGGAAGAACTTTAAGGCGAAAGTGAAGGAGCTGGAAATCAATTGCCGTGTTAAATATGTTATAGACTTGCTTTTCTTTTCTTTTTTCTTTTTTTTTTAGTAAAGCTTTGACTAAATCTATGTGTCAAGAAACCAGATGTTATTTTGGAATTACCGTCTTTTCCCACTGAATCATGTGACATTTCTACTATGTGTTTTGCTTATTAATTATGTCTGACCAGATTGTCAAAACCAGACCATTGTCGTTTTTAGTTAGTTAGAGAGTTGTACCATCGTGAATTTCACCAGTACGTTCGCCATACCTCGATTTCTTCAGTTTTCCTTATTATGTCTGACCAGATTGTTAGATTCAGACCATTGTTGTTTTTGGTCAGAGAATTTTACCACTGGAATTTACTAGTACGCTTGCCATACCTTGATTTCTGTCATAACCGAATCAAACGGATCATGTTGGATCCCCTAATACTTTATCTTGGAAAAAGCCCTCTATATTAATCACCCGCCACATATCGCGGGTTAATTCTAATGTTTCTTCATCCTAGCTGCCTTTTGAATGACTGGTATTCTGCTACGTCTATAAATCATATAGGTGTAGTAGGAACAACAACCTACCTCGAATCACCAGTGGCAGGATGGCGACGAAGGGCAAAATGAATATTGAGCCTCAATTATTTGGTTTACGAGTTTGATTGATATGCCGGCTATGGCCCAGCCCTCGTTACTACCAAGGACCTAAAATCTAGTACCTTTGGGCTAGGGTTCCTATAAGGGTCAATCCGATGAACGAATATTGCTAACGCTATATCTAGCAGACATGATAGTAAAAGCAAATAAAGATATTTATGAACACTAAAAGAGTCACAAGTAATCATTAAGTACCTACCAACTATAGGGCGTCCGCTTATCGCAACCATAAGCGAATTTCCTAATACCCAGGCACCCCCCAAGTCTGGTGCAAGAATTATTTCATGCTACCAACCTAGAAAAAAATCATGGCATGACCATTTTTATGCCAGGCTTAGGGCATCAAATCCAAGCCAGTAGTTCTCCATATAGTACGGAAGGGAGCTGAGATTTGAGGTAGAGAGTGCCGCTTGGCTAATAATATTCAATGATTAGCCCTTGTTTCTGTTGCCGCTCTTATTGCCCGCGTTCTAAAATTTGTATTTCTAAAATTGGTTATAGCTATGTATTCTAGACCCGCTTACTAGGACTCTCATTCCTAGGATCTATAGTATGGTTCCTAGGCACGCTCTTGGTCGCTCCTAGGGATCAGACTTAGAGTTCCTAGAGGACACTTTGTTCTTGAGGTGTTTCTGGTCCCCCTTTTCGTCCGCTTAGTCGAAGGAATGACGGTATCAGACCGCCTCCAAGGCGGAGAAAGGATAAGAGCGAACCTCCCAGGGTACCACCTCTCATTCCCCGGAGCTATACAGTTCACTCCTGGGGCTATTCTAAGTTCTAGGAAAACGAGTTCTACCCTTGGGATCTTCACTCTACGCTCCCGACTGAAGACGGAACTCGCTTTAGGAACACATTGGTTAGATCTGGGAGCTGTAGGTCCTCTGTATGATTCCTACTCCTGGGAGCATTCAATCCAAGATGTTCCCGGGAGCCCGGGAATCTTTTGCTATTGACTACGCTGCTTTACTAACAAGTCATGGCCTAAGGAGCAGTTGACCTTCCGATGAACCACCCTCGATGGGTCTTTGAACCTTTATAGGCTGGGCAGCAAACCTCCTAGGAATTGCGTTATTCAAAATCACGTGAAAGGATGGATATGATATAAAGCTAGCCACTATTTTGTTTATTTGGTTTCCTTCCACCTTAGCGGGGTATTCTCGGTCGCGCCTATCTCAACTTTCATTATATCAATTTTTTTTGAAGATTGTTCGAGCACCAGCTACAGATTCAATCCTAAATTTGTCAACGATCTGATTATATCGTCTCTCGGCCTCACTTGGTTATACTTTATCATGTCGCTACTCGACCTGCCCTCGGAATTACTCCTAGCGGTAGCATCCCTGGAGACAGAACGAGATATCAACTCATTATGTCAGACCAACCGGCGACTTTATTTTCTTCTTAATCCGTACCTCTATCGCATCAACTCTTGCACCTCGAGACCTGCACTGGTATGGGCGACTTTGCATGGAAATGAGAATACAGCTCGAATGTCAATTCAAGCAGGGGCTGAAACTGGATGGACAGATTCCGGCGGCCGGGGACTACTATGCCGGGCAGCACTGAGTCGTCATGAGGCCATAGTGAGGCTATTACTCGACACAGGGAAGGTAAATGCTGATTTGAAGGACTCCGAGGGGCGAACGCCATTGTCTTGGGCCGCTTCGAGTGGTTACAAGGCGGCAGTGCAGCTGTTACTTAGGACTGGAAATGTTCACGTGGACTCAAAAGACTACGAAGGTCGAACACCATTGTCCCAAGCCGCGGAACATGGCCGTACGGAGGTCATGAGATTGCTACTCGACACTAGGAAGGTGGAACTGGATTCGAAAGACGTCGACGGTCTAACACCATTATCCTGGGCTGCAGAGTCGAGCCATGAGGCGGTGATGAAGTTGTTAATCGAGACGGGGAAGGTGAACGTGGACTCGAAAGACTCTGAGGGTCTGACGCCATTGTCCCGGGTCGCGTCAAATGGTTCTAAGGCGGCAGTGCAGTTGTTACTTCGGACTGGAAAGGTGGACGTGGACTCAAAAGACAACACGGGCCGAACACCATTGTCCTGGGCCGCGCAATTTGGCTGCGAGGAGGTCGTAAAACTGCTACTCCAGACTAGTGAGGTGGACGTGGGCTCAGAAGACAACGAGGGCCGAACACCATTGTCCCGTGCTGCGGAATATAGCCGTTTGGAGATCGTGAGATTGCTACTCGAGTTTTGAAAATTGGAGGTGGACTCACGATGACACCTGGATTTGGACACTATCATGTTAAGGCACGCCAAACGACAGCGAGACTGTGACTATGGTTCGTGGGGTGGTATAGTAGCTGACAAGTTCGGCTCTCATAATTGACTGGACATAAATTCTTGCACCCCCAGCCCCACACCACCCGATTATATAATATACTGCCAGCCAAGAAAACAACTTATTTCACTACAGAGTGGTCCAACCCTGAGTGGTCCAACCCTAGTTCTCGCAGAGGGTGCATATTATAGGTCTAGACACAAGGCGGTCAAAGTCATATTGTCAATCCTTGCTAAGGTGGCAAGCCTTCATCCCCAGTCCTTTCAACGTGTATATAAGTACTAGTTAATACTAACATCTCTCCTAGTAACAGCTTTCGCGAATCTCGAAAATGAAAAATGACATTTTAATTCTTCTCCCTTTTCAGCCAAACTGATAGATCGTGAAAAGTTTGTTCAATCGTTTTCGAACCAATAGTCAGCTCAAGCGCCTCTCGTCGGAGTATTAAGCCAATACCTATCTGTCTAAGAAGCGGTCCAAATTCTTGAGCAGTTTCAATCTAATGATTAGATTCCAAATGGCCAAGTCGTCTGGAGTGGCATCCCTCGCGAAAAAGCCTAAGAATGGGCTGATAGGCATCGACTTCAGACACTAACCACAGCAATGGGGCCACTCGTGGACATCAGACACCCAAATTGCTTGAAATTGAGAAAGAATTCTCGGGAATCGAGTAAATATGTCCATGGTGCTTCCGCAATCTTTGCTTGGCGCATAGCCTAGGGTGAAGAGGTTACACTGCTTTCACCTCCACCACTAGAGCGATTTCATCCGTCGGGTCTGTCTTATTACCAAGGCATTGAAGAACCTATCATCCGGGCTTACTCGATCAAAACGCTGTTCACAAAATCAATATAGCCCATCTAATGATCAAGGAAAGTAGTGAATTTTTATATGAGATATAGCCGAATGACAGAAGCGACAAATGGGTGGAACGATTCGGATCAAGGCCTTGCGAGATGAAACGGAGACAAATAGGACACAGCGAGGATAAAACGGAATCAAATGGTTTGGTGACTTTTCCGGAGTAGCACGTCTGTTCTACTGAGCAGTATAAACAATTCGAAGAACACAAGGTTCGGCATTTCAGATGTTTTGTTATCTCTAGTGAATTATCACTTCTGATATCATCTAGGTTGCCTTCATCGAACCTGCTTATGGTATTTTGTAATGCAACAGTGATACTTCTGACCATGCCCTTCTCCGGTCTGAAAACTCTGATATCACGTATCAGGAGTGATGGAGGCTCGAGAACGCCGAATATCCTCATCTTCTTTTCTGATCCGCTCCAGCTTGTAGAACTTGTAAAGCGCAAGAAGTGCTGAACAGAGTAAGAGAGTTGCTCCAGTAACAGCAGTTGTTATAATAGCCATTACCGACCAATTCCCACCTTGAGACGTACAGACGTTGATGATAGTGGTCAGCAGCCCGGCAGCAGCATATAGGCATAGTGGTCTAGTTCAGTGTTAGATTTGAATCTGGCTTCTCATACCTCTGAGTTGGGATTTGCCCACTTACACAAACACTTTGTTGATCAGCCAGGGGTAGTTTCCCCTAAGCTTTGGGAAGTGCATCAGCCACATGAGAGCTGCAATTCCACTAACAAAAAGCAAGCACGCAATAGCGAGTAACGGGGGGTTCTGGATCACATGTAGAACGGTACGGCCGGCCTTGTTGGTTTGCAACGTCTTTTCAACTTGGTTTGAGGTCTGCAGTGAAGTGAACGTGCCGGGAATGACTAGATAGCCGGCCAGTAGTGCCCAGTTAGCCGCACCAACCGTGATACTAAAACGCATGTCCATTTGCGCTTCTTCTCTGAGCATTCTAACATAGGTAGTTTCATTAGCGTGGTGTATATGCTTAGCTCTACGCAGCCCCGGGGTCACATTCGCAGCTGAGCCAGGCGGAACAAGCATAGGGTTTATTGCAGGAAGTGGAGTCTTTCCCAATCCTATTTTCGCTGGCATACTTATATGATTGTCCACAACAAAGGCCATGACCAAAGAAAATTTAGGGTTACCATAAGAAGGAAATCCAATAAAGGACTTTATCAGCACTTTAAATAGTCCGTAGGGAAAGTGTGCTACAGTGCTTGGTCCAACTAGGTCTTAGAGGTTCTTCTATATGGGAAGCCGCATTTTTGGCTTGTGGTGAGCCTTATGTGGTCTGGCTCTCCAAGTCAAAAGCGAATGGCTTCTAACAGAACGCGAAAGTTGCTGTATACTTGATTTAAGCGGCCGTCATCTACAGATGCACTAGCGGAAGGAATCTGGTGCTTGACATATTTTTTGTTCAGATGGGATTTTGAGGCGGGACAAGATCATGCCAACTTCAATCTAAGTGTTGAACCACCCTTAAAACACTACTTGTCACTTTCAGATGAGAGCCCGTATATAAAATTCCTAGTACGTTTCAGCAAGGCTTCCTTAGGGATTCAGCGATAAAGGAGGCACGAATCGTGCTAGTTTTCCGAATGTCAAGTCGAATTTCAATTCGTGAGTAAGGGACAGCCGACGAGGCTTTAAGGCGGACATGTCTCGTCCTTTAGAAACAAAATCTCTGCTCAGCCTCTAGCTTTCCATCCCTCCCAATCCCCGTTAAATCGCTACTTAAGCACTTCTGTATTTTCCCTACACTAGCTTCGACAGCGAGCTTCCGACGGAAATGAACTACTCGGACGAGAATGGTCTATACCCGTTCTTTCAATGGCTATTTTATGCTAGCATTAGTAGACTACGATTTGGATCTCGACCTCCCTGCGATCTGGTATGAATCCTCTAGCATACCATACCAACACCGCCTCCCTATCTCACCACTGATCCCGATGATCAGCGGCAGGTTCTTCTTAACAAAGTCGACCCTATAGGATATGAAACTCAGGGGTCTTCCTTGATCGAATGCCCTTTCTTCCCTAATCTCGACAGTCTGTCCGGCTTCAAGTGGATAGGTCCAGATCCTCTATCCGTCTCTACTCTGGCTAGTGACATTTCTTTTAGATGTCAGTGTTCGATTTTCCGGAAGAGGTGCACTGGATAGAGATTAATTAGCGCGGTTTTATCGGATATCTGGCGAGACTATAGGAGAGAAACTGTCCTTCCTGCCTCGGGGTAAATGGCCGTAGGGAATCTCTATCGGGTACGCGGGCAACTACTAGATATAAGTCTCCTGGCACGATGTTAGTGCAATAGGCATTAGCTTCCGCTTACCACTATGGCCTCTCATAGAACCTCTACAATATTCAAGTCCATCGATACCTTCTCCGCTAGCTACGCTACCCACAGCACTATCTTTAGAACTAGAGTTCCTCGTGTATAATAGATTGGGCAATTACGAGTGAGACTGATCTAGAATATACGGGATTTTTCGTAGACACATTCTAGTGAAGACATTAATAATGAATCGAAGGCTATTTTATGCCCTTCCTACTATAAACTCTCGTAAAGATATCAACCTGCTTTCTATGCGGTAATTCGCCCTACACTGCGTCGCCGCTTATAGTATCTCTCTGTCGCCAAGATAAAACAGGGCAATCCGGAATAGGCAATTCCTCACCCTTCCTTTACAACGTCCGGCAGCCCCATCAGATTGGGCCTAAATGGGTAATTCCAGTCATCGAGCAGGCTAATCAGTCGTTCCCGAGATGGTTCTAATGCCTGCTCAAAATGGCGCAGCTGAGATAGTTGCTTGTCGTGGCGAAGTTGAAGGCCATCTCTCTTGTTGCTCAAGTTCATGCTAGATTCCTTCAACTTTTGATTGCTTTGCTCTAGCATCTCTCCACCAATGTGCTTAGACACGCACGACTCCCATAGGTGTCGATAGAGCCCAACAAGTCGAGCTGCTAGAAAGTAGAAATCTGGATCGACGCGTTCGAGGTCTGCTAGCACCTCCAAGATGGGTTGAAAAGGCTCAGTGGCCAAGGTATGTCTTGTTCCTATTTCCTGCTGCGAAGGGGGGAGCTGCGGTAGTCAGCAAAGTATTTGAAGCCGAATCGTATCACCTACCAGTGGAGGGGCATCATCGGAAGTTCCAATTGAATTGTCATTATCACTAAGGATTGGAAATCCACTAGGCTGCTGGGCTCCTTCCATTTCCCGCCGTGGCGAGCTGTTTCTGGCATCCATTTTGTTTGTAGGAGAAAGTCAAGGGTCTGAAAAATACGTTTCCAACAAGCCTTGGTGTCTCTTATAGAGTCACTATTCACGAAGTATTACGATCGCCACGGAAATCCATCAACGAGTCAGATTTAGACTAGAATTTGTTTAACTTGGGCGGGCTGTTGGCAGTTTATTTGATAATTGTGATAGTGATCAACGAGTTGGTCGAGGGAGTATAATCAAGCCTCACGGCGTTGATCAGATCCCAAATATTCAAGTCTATGACCTTTATGGACTTTGGCCAATTTGGCCACTCATCAACAGCTGTTGAATGCCTATATGGCCGTGGTAAATGGGTGGCTCATTCATCGCGGCGTAATGACTGAATTTGGTGTCCTACAGGCGTCATTTTTAACCCTCTGTTCACTGACCGGATAATCTATTGGAAAAGAATCAATACATAGATACTGTGCGATTAAAGATATGTTGTTCGCTGATTGAAGATGCCATAGTTTGTAAAATGTAATGTCATTGGAGCTAATACTATAGTGTATCTCATATCCAGCAGTTCGTTAGTGATGAACACGCGTTGAGATATATTTTAGACACAGCACCACAGGCACCACTTCCACATTCGTTAAAACCCGTAGTAATCGGACATATAAAAGAACTTACAGTAATTGAACATAACAGTAAGAACAATAAATTTAAATGAAATTACAAGTCCAAAATATTGCGTCGATGAACGGCCGAGCTTCAACGTGGTTCGAGCCAGGTCAGGTACCTGCATAATCGACGGTGACTAAACGGACAGACCCACAGCTTAACACAACCAATAGTAAAGCGAGGCTGGGAAGGCGAGTCCACTCCTAGTGAACAAATCCTAGGCACGGTTTAGCGATTCAAAGTGAGAGTTGATTCAACGTCATGGCTGATTGGATAGCTAGTGCACCATTAAAAGGCCGCCGGGGGTTTATTTCCAGCCAACGTTCCTTAACCGACTCCGTATCAGTATTTATCAACGTGACCCTCACTCGAGTCCCACTAAGCATTTAAATGGCATCAAGATATGTAGTCACAAACAAAAGTGAGAGTAAAAATGAAAATATGGATTTCAACAGGCCTCACATACAATCGACACCGTGCCTAACGCTTACTACCAAGTAAAGCATTCAATTTCAAGTGATATACTAAGAAGTCTATAAATATGTCATCTAACCCCCGCCGTTTGCTCTATAACTGAATTACTACTTCACGTAAAGTCGAGCAGGTCTTATATCTGAGGCGCTTGATAAGTTCTTCCCCTTTTAACCTAGTACTAAAACTTCCACTATACTATACATCGTGGACCAGTAAGTCACGCAGTGCCTATAGGAGATCTGATTCCCAGCCGATGCCAGGCGATCAAATAGATAAGACCTGGGTTAGCAATGTCTTGCTAACATCTCACTCCGCTATAGCAACCAACTGAGCTAATCCACTATCATTTCGGCCTCCAGATGTATATCTAAGGCAAAAGCGCCAATATTCATAGTGCGGGTATATAAATCTCAGCCTGACCTATCTGAAAGTCCGCTGATCCGGAAGGCGATACGATTTCACCGGATCTGTGCATATTCGACTACCATCCACGAGCGCCAAAACTACCTACGGAGCTATTTCCCGTCTCTTCGTTCCTAGTTTTGACTACCGGAACATATAAGTCATGAAATTTCTCGCTGATTTACTACACTAGCTAACATCTGATAGTGAACCATTGGTAGCGGACCAGAGTTACCCCCTAAGGATCTATAGTCCTTCCGGATATCGGCGTCACCACCTACACTCTTTCATTGCTTCTCGAACCCTGACGCCAAGATGAGCTAGACTATTTTGGCGTAGTCCTAAACTACCCCTGGGCTCTAGCTTGTATCGTAGAATACCGGATCATTGTATGAGGTGAATCTTTGTTTATTACCTGTCATGCCAAGACAGCGGCTTCCTCGATACCCCACGACGAGCGTTCCCACCACACATGCCGTTCTCGACAACTGACCATAATAGTGGCGCAGAGAACCATGGCACCGAATCTTGCTAAATCTGCCCTTGAGCTTATCCATGACATGATCAGTAGTGGTGAACTGACCACCTCCCAGATGGCTCAAGCTGCCGGCTGCAGCAAACGCGCAATCCTTAGGATCCGGTTAAATCTGCGGCTTTTTGGTACCATCAAAGCTCCTCCCATCAAAGCCAGACGGCCGCGGAGAACCACCCCGCTCATGTTGGAGACCTTGTGCGACTATCTGCTTGAGAAACCGGACTCATACCTTTCTGAGATGGAGCTGTTCTTCCTAGATGAATTCGACGTATCGATTCCTAAACCCACGATCAGCGACGCCCTGCATCGAAAAGGGTGGTCAAAGAAGAACGCTCGACAAAAGGCCAAGGAACGGAATGCGGATTTGCGTGATGACTACAGTCATCTGATCTCGGAATTTTGCTCATACCATCCGGTCTACGTGGATGAATCTGGGTGTGATAAGCGGATAGGTAGTCCTATAGGAAATAGGCGGAAGATTCTCGGGGTGCCTATAGGAAATGTTAAGGTCTAGATAGGAGATACCGACGCACTTAGAATAGCAGAGAGTAGTATTATAGAGAATAGATATAGATTCTCCATCGTATGAAGAGGTGGAGCAATCCCTTTATTACGTTATATAGAGGGCTATAAAAATTCTCTGCTTTTCTACGCGTAGTAAGCAAACAAATAGAGCGTTTCTAACTCAACCTAGTTCATATATCATATAATATATACGAGGTACTTACGACCTACTGATGTGGGGGAGCTGACTATAACAACGAGCTAGGAGGATGGAGTGTCTTATAAGAAATACTAGTTGTCAGTCTAGTCCTGTTGGTGAGGCGAGTTGAATATTGGGGGGGGGAGAAACGTATAGTATTCTTCTTATAGAGACTAATTCTTGCCAAGTCCAAGTTTCAGGGGGAGGCGCTCTTATACCTCTTCGTCCCTAAATCATGGTGGTCACGATGATATATCTCGCTACCGTCGGAGTCCTCTTTTGCCATATGTTAGTGCTCAGCATGATCATATAGTGTATCCCTAGAGAGGACCCCTGAGAACTTGGGACAAAGAAGCTAAATATACATCAAGGTCCCGGAATCCATTTCCATAATGCTTTTCCTTTACATTTCCAACCGTGGTCAAAAGTTAGTATGTAAGAGCATGAATAATAACGAGATACCGGTGTGATAGATAGTAGGAGGAGGTAGGGAACGGCGAGGAAAATGCGGAGGAAGGTTCAGCCAGGAGGCAACGGATCGTTAAATACCTCGAGCTAGAGGAATATGAACTTGTGTAAGAAGAAGATGATATCCAGTTTCTGACCGCTGTCAGAAATATAGTATTTGCAATAGACTACTGAGGGGCCACCTGGGCCAGTTAGAAGGTAAGCCTTGCTCACTGGGTGGCTCAGGCATGTCACAGTGGGCTTTTTGGATGGAGGCTCACTGAGGTGGCTCAGACCGGCCATGGTGGGCTTTTGCCTAGAGGCTCGCTCTGAGGGGCCATCTGGGCCAGTTGGAAGTTGGGCTTGGCTCACTGGGTGGCTCAGGCCAGCCATGGTGGGGTTTTTGCATGGAGGCTCACTCAGAGGTGGCTCAGACCGGCCATGGGTCGGCCTTTTGCATCGAGGCCAGCTCTGAGGTGGCTCAGGGCGGCCCTGGTGGGCTTTTTGCATGGAGAGTGGCTCTCAGATGGCTCAGACAGGGAATGGTGGGGTTTTTGCAAGGAGGCTCACTCCCAGGGGCCACCTGGGCCAGTTGGAAGTTGAGGCTGGCTCATTAGGTGGCTCAGACCGGCCACGGTGGGGTTTTTGCATGGAGGCTCGCTCTGAGGGGCCGTCTGGCCAGTTGGAAGTTGAGCCTGGATCACTGAGTGGCTCAGGTCGGCCATGATGGGCTTTGCATGGAGGGTGGCTCTGAGGGGCGATCTGGGCCAGTTGGAAGTTGGGCCTGGATTACTGGGTGGCTCAGGCAGGCCATGGTGGAGTTTTTGCATGGAGGCTGACTGAGGTGGCTCAGCAGGGCATTGTGGGATTTTTGCAACGAGGCTCACTCCCAGGGGCCACCTGGGCCAGTTGGAAGTTGAGGCTGGCTCACTGGGCGGCTCAGGTCGGCCATAGTCGGCCTTTTGCATGGAGAGTGGCTCTCAGATGGCTCAGGCAGGGCATGGTGGGGTTTTTGCATGGAGGCTCACTCTGAGGAGCCACCTAGGCCAGTTGAAAGGTCAGCATCACTCACTACGTGGCTCGGGCATGCCATCGGGGCTTTTTGCATGGAGGGTGCCTCTAAGGGGGCGGAGGCAGGCCACGGGGGAGCTTTTGTATGAGGTTTGCAGCATCGTCACCTCTCGTATTCCAGCAAGTCGAGTTGCTTACGCAACGGCTGTCGATGGTAGCTGATGAGAGCTCCTAATTCCAGTTCCAGTTCCAGTTTCAGCCATTTTATCAAGTCGAGTTGCGTCGAGCGTGCAACCGCGAGCAGCGTTTCCAGTTTCCAAGGGTCGCTTCCAGCGATCAACCGCGACCGGAGAGAGGTCCATGTATCGCTTCGAGCGTCCAGTCGCGAGCGAGTAGAGAAATCGAGGGTTGCTACTAGCGTCCACTCGCGAGCAAGTCGGGAATAACGTCACCGTTCAAATTTTCATTAGTCGCGTCAAGATCTGATCTGTCTTATCCGGATCTGATAGAGTCTCAGTTAGGCTTTGACAAGTGCAGCGGTACTGGTGCAGTGGCTGCACCAAGGCCTTAGTTCGGTGCAGTGGTACGTGGGGCCGACTGCACCAAGGGCGAGGGTCGGTGCAGCGGTACTTTGGCTGCAGTGCAGCTGCACTGTAAACAATACAAACATTGCCTAATTCGGCTTATCCCGTGACTTATATATGTAATTTATGTAAATTACGGCCTTGTTGGTTACCAGATCGGCGGTATCAAGCCGAATGGGGTAATCTCTTGGCAAAATCTGGCCTTGGCTGCACCTGGCTGCACTGCCAAGAGGTGCAGCTGCACTTGTCAAGGCCTAATTACGCCGCCGCCTCCGCGGCGTGCAAAACCGCGCGATTTCTCGCGCAAATCCGCATAAATTAACAGAAATCGAAGAGGAATCCCTTCAAAAATAGATACTGTCTATAGATTCTCGCGGATCAGCTCCCCGGCCTTGTACTATACGAGAAATAGCGAACCTTCTCCTCGAAAAGCGCGGAACTACCCTGGTTCTTTCAGTGAGCGAAAAATAGGTTTATAATTTTATTCAACAGCGTCCTCTTCTCTCCTCTCGATTCTCCAAACGGTATAATTACGCTCGTGTGAAATGAGAAAACCCGAAAACCATCCGGGAGTGGTTTCATCTAGTTGAAAAAAACTACCCTTTACCCTTCGATTTAGGATCAACCCCGATAACGTTTATAACTTTTAACGAGACTGGTTTCGCGATAGGATTAACTAGGACCGCGAAGGTTATTACGGGGAGGGAATAGTACGGCCGGCGAGCACTTTTATAACCTAGAAATCGAGAGTGGGTGACCGCGATCGAGCGTACGAATGCTTCCGGATAGGCTCTTCCTGCGTGTGTGATTTTTAAGTCTACCTTAAAGGCTAGTTCGATTACCTTCCTTCCGATTAGCGATTTGAGGTTAGTCCTAACGGATGGACCTCTGATGAAATTAGACTTCGCTGGCTTGAAAAGACCTTTATTCCTTCGACTTCTTCGCGGATAAAGGGTGCGTATTGACTCCTAATACTCGACGGCCACGGAAGTCATTTAACCGGCGGGTGTGATGAAATCTATGAAAAAAATAAGATTATACCAATCGAAATGCTTCCGCACTCCTCTCACCTTTTACAGCCTCTCGATATTAGCTGTTTTGCGGTGTTAAAACGATCTTATACTCGGCTGGTTAAATTAAAAATGCGCGCCGGGATAAATTATATTGACAAACTTGATTTACTCGAACCATACCCTACCGCCCGGTCGGAAGCTTTTGAACCAGAGACCATTGAAACTAGCTTTATAGCTACTAGTTTGGTCCCTTTTGAAGCTAATCGAGTGGTTTCGAAGTTCCCCATGGTTGTTTCAACCCTGGGCAGGAAGAACATATGCTCCCCTACCGCCTCGCCGGTCAATTGATCATATCGTGCAAGTCCGAATCATACCCAGTACACCTCAGAAAGAGTAGCTGGAGGCTTAAATATAATGCCGGAGGCCGATAATTATTTCCAATGCGGCAGAGAGAGAACCAGGAAACAGAAAACCAGATATTAGTTATACAAGAAAAGAGAAACGGATTATGTACTAAAAGTCTTGAAGCGCTGGTACTCTGTCACCAGGATCAACGAAATATCACCGTCGGTCGCATGGCCACCTCACCGAGTGTCCACTTTGAGGTTCCCCCGTCTACCGTCTACCATCCCACAACGCCGGCGCCTGTCCATCAAAGCGCTACCGGGGCAGGTTGCTATCGCTTAATTGCCACCGTTTAACTGTTTGGGCTGTCGCTGTGTTTCCTTAACTCGTATATATTTGGCAGGTTTGATGATAAAGCACTCCCGTAGGCACAAACAAGGGTTGAGAAGCTTGACGGTTGGCATGACGACAGGGCATTGTGCCGCAGATCCTACCCTAGGTGCATCGTAAGCGGACCAGCTGGGATGGCGGGGTTTACTTGGGCTACTTAGTTCCGCTTGCTTATTGTCGGGAAAATATGACCTTGATCTTTATTGTTGCACAAATTCACGGTTGCTGAGGCTTAGCTTTAGGAACCAAGTTAATAGGTGCTAGAAACCTGAGCGGGCGTCCATCAAATGATAGCTGGCCACGGAACCCTGGATCGTAGTCGGGGCTCGTCTCGTCTAGAGTAGCAACATAACGGTTGCGACCACCGCGTCTCGAATGTGTCTTCGTACAATGGGCTTTGAGGTTATCGCGGCGTGAAAAGGCACGGTGACATCCAGGCACCCAGCAAACATGGGGCTTTTCCTTCAAGTGACTTCTGGTATGGCGCTCGAGGTGGTCCTGACGCTTGAAGCCTATTCCGCAGCCAATGACTTTGCATTTGAATTGTCGCTTATGCATATCAAATTCCTGGTCCTCAACATCCAAGTTATGACCAGGCTTCTTACTATAGACGTGATAGTCAAGCAGTGAATGGTCGTTGATACAAACGGTGGTATCATGGATTTCCTGGGAGGGCTCTTGTGGCTGGTCAAGAAACCAAGTAGAGGAGATACCGGTACAAGAGGGGATGGAATAGACTTCAGCAGCCGCGCCGAGACTCGCTGCAAAATTCAAGGATTCAGATGTATTTGTCGAAGCATGCGGAAAGACCAGCGTAGGGTTGATAGTCTGCATTGTCGAGAAATCAGCCCCCGGCATCCCTTCAGCTACATTAAACGTTGGGGCTAAGTCGAGTCGTCTCAACTGACAAAGTCTCAATGGTGGCAAGTAAAGTATGGATCCCGACTCAAGGTGGTGATCTACTGCCTGAGAACAATGGATGTTGGGAATGCTATTGTCCTTTAGCGGCATCGATGTATGATAAGAACCAGTGGAATAGTGGTAGACCTGGAGGGCTCTATGGCTCTCTACCCAATATTCACGTTGTGGGGACATAGTGTCAAAGTTGTCAGGCCTCCATATGCTGTGACCAGGGTCGGGCCAGCTTAGTAGAGCGTGTGAGTCCCAATGATGAAAAGGAGTGGTAGCTAGGGTCGGCGGCTTGGTCTTTGAAAGATTTGGGCTATCATGCTGAACATCAAGCTCCGGTGAAGGCTGAGCCGGCGAAAGTAGAAGGGGATGTTTGCCATGTTCCCGAAACATACTGCTGGCTAAAGCTGGGCGTTTTCGGTGTAGAAGAAGCGGAGCGGCTTGCAAATTTATTAAGAACGACAAAAGCTTTTAGGCTGAATTACTCAGAAGACAGGTCACATTTGACCATAGGCGTGTAAAGGACGGCAATTTTGTATGAATTCTTCGGCATTAGCCGTAGCCCTGAAATGATCAATAATGCAAGTGGGTGACATACAAATGGCGTCAACAGAAGACACAATCTCAGAGATTTTCTTACTATACAATCAGAGCTGGTCCCAAAATTCTCAACTCCCGAATAGATTTAAACGCTCTGATAATTATACTACATAGGCTGCTTTCACATTTCCCGCTACCTTCGTTGACTCCGGTGAGTTACCGTTGAGCTCTCCAATACCGATCGTATTTTCCTCAACAATGTATGATCAATCCACATTCTAGGAACAATATTATCTCAGCTACAAATACCATACATTCATAGTGTGCGTACTTCATTCACCTATCGACGTTGATAGAAGTATTTCTGTTACTGACTATCCCATTATTGAGCTAGTTTAATTGGTAGTCAGTATAGACCCGGGGCACGCGGAGCTCTGTTACAGTTTCTAGGTACGGTAAGTTATCTTTTCTGTACAAACGCAACCTATCACCGAACTATCTTGAACTTCCGATCCTGCCTCCAGGTTGATGCGCGAGATGAAAAGTGGGACTATTCACGTCGTAGGTATGTGCCAACTCGAGCCTGTCTGATTTTGTACCAACATCAGATATGCTGCCAGCTACACACCCAGACCCGTATACATTCGGCCGTCTTTAAAGAGCGCAACCTACATTAAGCACACGTCCATGCACTCCACCAAGATCGATTGTCGGGCCGAGCGCATTTCTTGACCACCCGAATCTGTAAGTCATGCAACGCCTCTCCGCACCAGTACCTAATGGCTGGCAGCAAATGATAAACCCGCGCCAGAATGGAACCTCGATGACCCTAACGCCGTCGTCGTTGCTCCAGCTCAAGGCTACGGCCTACTCGCCACCATCTGATACAGTACTTCCGGAAATCGGTGTCACCACCAATACACACACTCTTACGGGTTCTAAGGCACGCTAACCCATTTTAGCAATTATCTAATAACATCCCTGGTCTGGGCCTTGTACCGCAAAAATACCGGATTATTTTATTACATTTGCCTATGTTTATTACTTGTCAGAGCTGGATAGTGCTACCAGGTACCCCACTATTATTCCCAATACCAAAGTGGGCTGTGAGCTCTGCGGGTTGTACTAAAGTGGCCTCTGCTTTGATAGCATTTGCCGCTATAATTCCGCAAGGCTCCTCCATGTTCGCCAGGCGTCCACGGGGAAGCCAGTGGAGAAAATAAGTACATAATCGGTGCCAAGGTTCAGTGGTCGATGGTCACCTGATCGTGGGGCTGAGACTGAACTTGTTTCTGGGGGTTGGGACTTTCGTTCTGCCTATAACAGCATCATTGTATGCGCCGCCTATTGACTATGAGTTCAATATCGTTTGGTAACGAAAATTCGGCGACTCAGGTGGGGATCAATCACGGACTGGTGTATATCTCGTCCAGTACGAAACCTTTCTAAGTCAGGTGCTAGGCCTTATTAACAGCCACTTTTTAGACCCAGACCAACCAGAAAACCCACAGCAAAGGATAGACAACGGTCCGCATCGCCCCGTGTCAGTCAAAGACATTAATTATCGTGGTAGAGGTGCTTAGGTCACTGGCATTCCGCACATGCTAGATCGGAGGGACAATATCGAGCCATGTCATACCAATACCTGCAAATGGATTTTGGAGTTAGAAAAGTACCAGTCATGGAGGAGCAAGCCCCGCGGTCTACTATAGATTAAGAGCAAACCGGGTGCGGGCAAATCGACGTTAATGGTATTCCTGCACGACAGACTGAAGATATTACAAGACGATAGCCAGGGTATTCGGCTCGACTTTTTCTTTACCGCTCGAGGCACGGAGATGCAACGTACGCCACTAGGGATGCTTAGATCCTTACTGAACCAGCTTCTTATCTGTGATGCGACTGTACGCCGTCAGGTGCGCGAGATCTTTGAATAACGATATAAGCACTTTAGGTATGGCGAAGGTAAGTGGGAATGACCACGAGTGGTGCTAGAAGAGTTACTAGCAGGCGTTATCCTAGCATCTGCTAGTCGGAAACGCGTGACAGTTTTTGTCGATGCTCTAGATAAGGCTAGAGCTAAGTCTGCTTAATAGCTAGTAGTATACTTCTATCGGCTTATTAATCGCGCAGAAAAAATGAACGTGGTAGTTCGAATTTATATTATATATCGACACTATCCTATTATAGAAAGTGCCCGGGCTATAGAGATATATGTCGAAGAGCATAATTATAAAGATATCGCTATATATATTAAGGATATCCTTACTAAGATAGAGGTCGGAGATAGTCCTAGTGAACAGATAAGGCAGATATTAGTAGAATAGCTGATCTAGTAAGCTAATAGTGTGTTCTAATAGGCCCGTCTTATAATGCCTCTTACCCGGCGGAAGATTTTTAAAGGGGAATCGTTTAATGATATCTGTTACTAGTTACGCGAGGTCCTAACCGGCCTAGTAGACGTGTATATATATATTCTAAACGATATGATAGAGGCGAGGAATCGGGAGTAGTCGTTCCTATTGTTTCAATAGGTATACCTAGCCGAGCGACCACTAACTATGATAGAAATACGGTATACCTTAGCGGCTAAGGATACTTAAATAAAGCCCTCCCTAAAGATATAGGATAAGATTCACGGTTTTATCGAAAGCAATAGACGAATAAAGAGAAGAATCAAGACCCTTTCTAGTAGACTAGCTAAAGTAGTCTCGAGCGGGAATAAGGATAAGACTATATAGGTAATACACTAGTTAGTTAATAACTTCTTATACGTAAAAGGACTAGGGCTTTTATCCTATTTTATCGACACTAGCACATTACTAGTGGATGGCGATAAGATTCTATTCTAATACTAGGCAATTCTCTACCGCACATGCCTAGTTTATCTAGCCACGGTATATATGCCTCTAGAAATCTTAAAATATCTTTAGAGCACGAGAAAGGACTTTGCCTAGAATCACCCGTTACTTATCTACTCGACTGAAAACCTCTTTATTTATACGAAAAAGCCTGCCGCCTCTCGAGCCGATATGCTATAGAATAAACCAGATATCCTATAACGAGTGATCGGTCGATAGGTCCAGATTTACCGGATCCTAGGTCCGTATAAACCGGAGTGCCCACCGAAAGATACGACAATCTTATATATAGCTATAGCCGCCAATCTCGTTGATATCGTAGAGTCGGTGGTGTTTAACGGTGAGGGTGTTAGGGGGAAAGACGGAAACGGAAATACAGCTTTCCTTTTAGCCGCACGACACGGTCATATAGTAGTAGGAAAGGTACTGTAGGGGAAGGGAGCAGATTGTGAGGCAAAACATAAAGATAGAACAACGCCGTTAATTGAGGCGGCTAGCTTTGGGCAGTTGGGATTTATCGAATGGCTCCTACATGAGGGCGTGAAGCTTAAAAGAACAGGGGATGGAAGTGAAAGTGCTCTACAAGCAGCTGCGTTAGGAGGTCATCAGAGCGTTGTGGAAATTTTGCTTGGAGCTGGAGCTCAGGTGAATGCACGTGGTGGTCACTATGGCAATGCCCTACAGGCCGCTGCATTCGGAAGCAACACCGAGACAGTGCGGATGCTCCTCGACGCTGGCGCCGATGTCAACGCTCAGGGTGGTCAATGTGGCAATGCCCTGCAGACCGCTACCGCTGCATACACAGGAGACACTGAGATAGTGCAGGTACTCCTCGACGCTGGCGCCGATGTCAATAAGGGAGGAAATGTACTACAGTTGTACTAAGTAAATAGGAGGTAAGCCTGCGATATATGTGCTTAAGATGGATGACTAAGGATCTCGTGTATCTCCAAGATTATTGGCTTCTCCTCTTCGATCAAAGTACTACCTTCTAGATAGGGACGCAGAATAATGGCGGTTCTGAATGGGCGCGGTTTAGCGGCGGCTCGCTGTCTAGGTTACGGGTGGAAAGCCAGCTCTCCCTAGCGTCAAGTGCTGTCATTTTCGGCATCGATTTCAAGACTAGTTAGATGATAGATTCAAACATATAACCTAGTATATAACGAAGCATACGATAAGCACCCGACCTATCCCTCTTTTGCCCACTCCCAGCCAAAATGGCAACAAATGTCGAAGAACATAGTGCATCTGGTGTAGGCTTAAACGAAGGCGGCATGGATTTGCTAGGCCTCGGTGCTTTTAGATCTGTTTTACACTCTGTATGAACGGTCGCAATCGTTCGTGTTTAGACAAGAAGCTCTCGACATCTTACATGTCGCTCATGTAGCTGCGCTTTTGCGGATTTCTTCTAGACATCTCAAAACGGTGGCTGCCCATAGGGTAAACAGATCTATATGGACTAGTGGACTATACGGGACGCCGATTACTAAAGAGCCCACTCTTCCACAAATATGGCAGTATATTTGCAGCTGTAAGGCTTGGTCCTGCTTGGTTTGGGCGGAACAGTAATTGCGGGACGATGTGTACGACGGTCGTGGAGAACGACTCTGAGCAGAGTACAGAGAAACGCTAACCGCTTTCAGCTCATCGTACCACACATCAGTCCCTCTCATTCGCAATCAATAACATAGCTACCCACCTTATAGCTTTTGGATATCAGATCACTTGAAAAGATTTTTGAGACGTCTATTGCTCTATGTCCTTAATTAATTTTTTTGCTCGGTCCGCGATTTCAAAAGTTACCAGTTTGGGACTAGCGTCACTCTGAAGTACGGAGATAAAGACGCTAACCGAATTAAGGGGGGTTGGAAGTAAGATAGCTAAATTGCTCGCAGAGTCACAATAGTGATGAAGAAAAAATGCAACGGTTATTTAGGAGCTGGCCGAGGTTGCATTTTCAACGATGCTTTCGACGATATCAAGTAAATAAAC